TCGAGTCTTCTTCTTCTCAATTGCTTCCTGGGACACGCATGCTCGCTTGTATCGGCAATTTATATGGGCGCGATGCGCTTAAATCGGTCCGACGATGGGAAACATTTACCCTTCGTGAGGCCTTTACCTATTCGCAGATCCGGTTTCTGCACAGATGTCTTGATGTCCCAGCGATCGAGTCTTCTTCTTCTTCTCAATCAAAGCACTACACTTTGCCAATACGGGCGAATAAAAGGATTGTCCCAGCGATCGATTCGTCTTCTTCGCACTACAGTTTTTTGACACAAATGGAACAAGGTAGTGCAAAAAGTGATCGAAATAGTATATTCCGGTCATCAAGGTACCAACAGGCCCTCAGTTCTCTGTCTAGCTTATAGGGTCTACGCAGTCCGGTTGAAGAAGGCAGTCTAGTCCAGCACTAATGAGTGTCAGTAAGGTCAAAGAAATCAGTCACATCGACACAAGGCAGAAGTTATTGGTTGGTTTCTGCCCCCAACGTCTATGATGACAGGAGCCAAGAGAAATTTCGCTAGCTCGGATAATTAACTTGGCCAGGCGTCTAAATTAGCCCTCATGTGTGTTACTTCTGCACGCTTCTACAGCGAAACACTACAAAGGCGAGTGCTGTTTTCTAATAAAGAGAGGTACGGCCGCGAAAACTGAATAACGGCAACAATTCGAAAGGTGATCATGATGCAAAATGCCCAAACGAGGGGCGCTGGAGCTTACCGGGAACCAATAAGGCACTTAGTAAGAATGCTTACACCACAGTGATATGTTGGTGGAAAGATGAGTATATTTCATTTAGTGACTACTAAGGTTTTGGTGCAAGTAAATAAATAATAATAAAACCATTTGCAGGACACTTGCCTGAATAGAAAAGTACTATCATCCACGTGAAACCATGGCGCACTGATAATGTACAGCGCGCGAGCAGGTACATCATGCAAATTTAAATGAACAAGGAGTCACATTCAAACTATATTCATTCGGCACCTTGAACCAATGAAATTGAGACTACTCGTGCGTCAATCGGATGCCCACCAGAGCGACCAGAGCCATTTTTTTGGCTTTGTAGTGCTTTTCGTAATCCTGGCATCGTCTAAATCTACATATAGGATACTTGCGGATAGCACGGAATTTCGGCAAAGGAAATTAAAAAATTGATAATGTAGTTGTGGCAGGAAGAACTCATTTAGAAACAATATTAGAAAGTCCATCTATACACAATGCCAACCTCAATAGGGCAAACATAAGTTTGAGACGACATCGATAGCAGCTAAAGTGGTCAGGAAGACTGCCGTTGTGAAACAACTTAGCATTCGAGCGTGTTTGTAACATGGACAATTGCAAAAGGGAACACGGACAGAAACATGGGATAAGTTGATGGTGTCCATGTCGGCATATCCTACTTGTCGACTGCCTACGAGGGTTTCAGATTGAGTCCAGAGGCACACGAGGGACGAGCCTGCCTCCTAATCCGATCGATGAATGCACTTTCCGAAATGGTGAATACTCGATCACAAAAGACAACACAGCGCACGCGAGGTGGAGTTTTCGACTTAAAAACATCCAATGAAAACGAGAAGAATATGTCTTGTAAGCTAATATGTTAACAACATTTCACTCTAGTCGTTTGCTCATACACCCTTGTTAGACTGAATTAGGGACGATCAGATATGGTATATGTAATGATTGTTGAAAAGGCAAGGCAAGAGGGACCAACCACTGTGGTCTGCCGCAGTTTGGTCAGAAAATTGGACCATTTACCACAATAGAAGCTGGCACAGTCTGCAAATTTAAACAAGTTCGGAGACGTACAAAGGGAGCGACTTAAAAGGTAAGACCAGACTCGGCTAGGAAGTTTAAACAAGGATGAATAAGCGGCAAGTATAAGGACAAAGCCGAAGTCATCGTATCTTCAAGGCCTATGGAACTACTATAAAGAGACAGTTTCTAGCAAACCAGCATACACTGTCCTAGTAGCTCCTGATTAACTTTCGTGCAACACATAAAGAGGGGGGAGGGACAATGACAACACAGCCCGGTATAGACCCACCGCATTCCTCCCCCAGCACACCCTAGTAAAGAGATTTCAGTAGGCAGGGTCACGCTCTGTTACATATTAAGCAAGAGGTATTAAGTGGATAGTGCGGTAGTTCCAGAATACAGACTCAATTTTATGTCCATAGTCCAAATCCTACCGCCGTTAAAAAAGCAACTTGATAACTAAATAACACACTGCATGCACTCACCTCGACTAGCCATCTCACTCTCGATGAGGTCAAGGGTGGTGTCATCCTCGCAGATGTCGTAGGGCATGTTTCCATCAGCATTAACAGCCAGCAAGTCGGCCCCACTATAAGAAATAACGAAAGGTTCAAGTAAACTCTTGGAAAAAAAGGCGGTAAAAACAATTATAAATCTTGAAATCGGTAAAAACTCGTCAAGGAGTAAGGATGAGGATGTCTCATGGTGGATAAGAGAAAAGTTAACAGTCTCGCGAATCAGAAAAAAGGCCATGTGATCACTGGAACAAGAAGATTATTGGCCGGACGTTTAGGTTTCTCAATCGAGCCTATCGCCAGAGATATTCGCAGATAAACACAGACAAAGCCTAACTCATCCCTTCCGGTCACCGGCAACGTTGGGCAGATTCTGATGAGGACCCTTATCAAGTCTGGCTTCCTACTGCGGAAAGAAGGTACGCTTGCTGCGCTGCTTGGCGGATGAAGTAGTACAGTAGGCAAGAACAAAAAGGATTTTGGCCACTTCATTGCAGCAGTACCGATACGCAAGTAATGTTTGCTTAACTGCTTCCTATAGAGTGGGAGCATATCGTTTTATGGATTGCTGACGCAGAAGAAGGAGAATCTCCAGGCAACCTATAACAGGCAGCTGAAATCCCAAGCACATCGGTAAGGATGAGGTGACGGCAAATTCTGGTGTTCTCGCACTTACTATCGAGTCGGTTCTCAGTTGAGCCATTTAGCCCTTTTCACTGGTGCCCGAATCACTGGAGCAGGATTGTGGAGTGCTTCAATTTCGCCGGACGCCATGGTAGGGGGTCCAATAATATATTCGGATATTGTTTTAATTCTGACAATAGGTAGTGTTTGACAAGGACCAACGGGCATCTATATTGTCTGTTCAAAATGGCTTCTCAATGTTTTAGGAGTAAACTAGTGAATAATACTTTACGATCACCATGGTACAACGCTGTCATCAGTCTCTTAAATATTTCATAGTGTGAACGGGATGCCACGTCTCAGTTAACGGCTTAACAGTGAGTCCAGTAAGTTTATGCGTCAGATCCAGGGGCCTGTTCATTCACGATTAGCCCTGACTTGTAACTGTATATGAAACTTTGAGGGTAAAAGTTCAATTAAGGGTCCACAACAGGATGCGAAAACCCCTTCCTTCTGTAAAATGTGACAGGTGGTTATAAGGGTTAAATGGCTGGGGCATATCGGGAGAAAGAAAAAATAGATCTAAAAAAATAGTGCATAAAAGTAGAAAATAGTAGGAATAATTATTTAAAAAACAAAATATTTGCGCGCAATTATTAAAATGAAAACTACAATCAACAGGAAAGGAGGTGTAAGGGTGCCCAAATGGACACAATCGTCGACTTCATATCGTTTCTATGTCATGTCTATAGATTTGAAATAGAGCCGAAAATTGTGTCCAATTGGGCAGTATGGAGCCATTTTAATTACTGCGCGCAAATATTCAGTTATTTATATAAGCTGTATCGGAGCCTAAATTAAACTTTCAGCGGCCGCCGTCTGCAGCGTATAACATTTTATTGGGCCGAAATGAGGGAGAGACATCACTGTCACCAAGAAAGCCAACATCGATACTAACAGTGTAAACATTTGGCAACTTTTTTATATAAAAATAAACCTCAACAGCGGTATGGTCAACTAAGTATCTGCGAACTAGTGGGTCTAAAAGAATGTGAGGCCGAGGGAGAGAAGGCAGAGAAAAGTATAAACACGTCTTTTCCACTTCCTACACTCACGTGCATCATTCCGCTGTTGCATCCGATTTACTCTTTTCTAATACTTAGCTGGCCAGCTCATTATAAAGTCCAACTTTTACATACATAAACGAGGAACTCATCATGTGCAATACCATACCAAATGAAAGAACCGGTACAAAAGCAAAATAAGCATATAAAAGACTCGATTTCCGACGGGACCGACAGACACTAAGTAACCAAGTACCAAGAAGACAATTGAGTTAGATGGGCTCCAAGTTAACTAACTTAATCTCAAAAACTAGAAGGGCCTTCAAAAACTTAACTATTTCCCTTCCAAAAAGCTGAAATGCTAAAAATAGAAGACAGCGAACGCTTGCGTACCCTTTCCTTGCTTAACTATTATTCAAAAAGGTGTCCTTTAATGCATTAAAAACACCTTCAGCGCAATTACGATTTTGTTTTATTCCTATACATTTGACAGCACCACGGTTCATTGCCTGAAAAGTTCCTATTAACAGCATTTGTCGTATTAAGGATGACACTGAAACAATTCTGGGGAAAAAGGATCCATTTCTTCTCAGAGAAAATAACGTTGCGTTATGCTGTAGAAAGCAGACGAGGAAGAGTCTTGCAGTGGAAACGGCATACAGAAAGCTTTTACGTCTGCTCCCTCAAGGAAATTCGATATGTGAAAGCAGAGGACAAGTAAGGCGTGCGGTTTGGTCAACTGAGTTCCCTCGCTCTTTAGTCAACTCGTCGAAAACTCGGAAATTTACTTTCGGACGGAAGCGCTCAAACTTGCTATGTGCAGTTGGATCGAAGGGATTAAAACTTCCGTATGAAAGGCAGGCCCATGTGAATCCTCTTCTTACTGAAAAACCTTAGAAGTCTCCCTACTAAGGAAGGCTAGTGAACGGGGAGAACACGAATGAATGGCAATGGGTTAGAAAAAACAACAATTAAGCTGCACATTCAGAGGGAAGGCCGCAGGGCGTACTTACTAGTGCTGGCAAGCCAGTCTGTACAGCAAGACGAAGAAGTCAATTTC